CCCGTCTCAAGCTAGCGAGCGCCCTTTCAATGCCGGGCTTCTGCCAGCATCGGCTATTCAGGATAGCGAGGCACGAATGCCATAAGGCATGGGAACCAAAGATTTGCGCCGTAACGCCTTTGTGCTATGCACAGTAAAAGACTTGGGATCAGCCAGCGATGCCTAGTCCATCATGTCCAGGATCCTTACCTTGTTCGGTCTGGCTTTGTTGGTCACCCGATTGCTGTACAAGTACGCATGACGGTGCACTAGCAGCTGTAGCGTATGCATCTGGGAGTGGATGTTGTCCACATGCCTTTGCATCAGCATCATCTGTGCCTCGAGCTCCTTCAACTGATACTCCATCAGACTGAGGTGCGCTGCCGTCCATGTATCGCCGTACTTCCGTAGCAAGAAGTGATTCATCCCGTTGTCGTCCGACATTGCTATCAAGGCTTGCTTGAGCTGGTCGCAACTGCGAAACAGCTGACGTGTCAACCGAGTTTGTATCAAGAGCCAGCACAAGAATGTATGCACTGCAAGAGGCGCTCTCAAGGAATGCATGATTGGCTGGCTCTTTTGGCTTGGCATCATCCAGAACATGGTGCACGACATCCCCGATACTCAGAACATTGTAGTGACCTGAGGTGAGGCTGTGCCCATGGTGCAATATGCATGCTACAGTGTGGTAGGGCTGCCACCGCGTCTCAAGGGAGAGCGGGCGCTCGAAAATGGGCAGCTGCAATGCCTTTGGGATGATGATTGGATTATGGTTTTTCTGAGGCTCGCCATTGTCCCCGATACGACTTCTAGGGAGCTGTACGAAAAGCCAAGGGGCTTTGCTGTCCAGAGCATGTGCTTCTGCCTGTTGATGCCAGCGGTTAATCAGGGTTTGGGTGTCCGGGCAGTCAAGTGTGATGTAACTGAGGGACAGACACTTTGACAGTGCAGCACCATCAACATGGTGCACCCCTCCTGCATGTGCGATTTGAGCAGTTCTGGCACTCCAGGAGTGATGCACTTGTGATGGGCATAAGCGCGGCACTAGGAAATCGATGAGCTCTGCAACATCGTGTTGACTATCCGGCCTCCTCCACCCCAGGAGGTTGAACCCCAAGAGTTTCAAGGCATTCAGTAGCCTGGCATCTGCTCGGCGGAAAGCAGGCGGCAGAAGTTGGTTTTGGGTTCGGGTTTCAAGGAGGCCGAGGCAATAGATAGTGGCGTTAAGGTAGCAGTGATTGTGTGGGTTTAAGAGGGAAAACTTAGGGAGAGTGTGGTGGTCGTTAGACAAGTGGGCATTAGGGGAGTGAGTTTTGGGAGAAGTGGGGTTGGGGTTTATGGTAGCGGAGCCGTAGGTCTGGGCAGTGTGCGCAGGGCAACTGTTGGTAGAAGCAGTTGGAACGATGCTATCATCATCCGGCCTCCCCCGTAAGTCATCTGAGCGAGCTGTTGCGCCATGGGTGGACGCATCTGGTCGTCCACCTTCATGCTGAATCCTGCGAGATTCGTCAGCGACGACCCTGCCAGCTGGCGAAAATGATCGTAGACCTCCGTGGCTTCGGAACCACGCAGGGATACCCCTAAGTGGAATATGGCTTGCTGGGCTCCTTGTTCCTCCAACTTTGCTAAGTTGATGGTGCTCTGAAACTTGTGGATAATCTCTCCCCGCATCGACTTCTGAAGCTCTGTTATGATTCTCACAGCTTCGTCGTGAACCAATGGCTCCTTGGTCTCGTCGGCCACTAGTTTGCGAAGCTTGGGAGACCACCTCATGTAGGTCCAGGCATTGGAGCTCGTGAGCCATTCTGCCTTCTTCAGGGATTCCCTGCCTGGTTCGGTTGCCACCACTCGCTGAACCCGGGCCAGTGATTCTCGCAGTAAGCAGTTGATCAGAACTGTTCGCTGGGACGACTGGATGGATTGATCCCCCGCTGCCTGCTTGACCTTCCACTCGCGCGAGACATTCATGAGCGAGGGCAGGATCGACTTGTCGTCCTGCCGAAAGAAGAGGACAAACTGGGTGTCCTTCCTCAGAGCCGCGAGTTGCTCTTCGTGCTTCAGCAGCAGTTTGCTGATGAGGCGGAGCTGAGAGTCCTGTGCTGGTTGCGCCGAGAACGGGGCTGGGTTCGATCTCCACGGCATCTGTCCCAGTGAGGGGTTGTGGGGAGGTCGTCCTCCCTGACGTCCTGGTGGTTTGCGAAGATCCGGCCTGGCTCGTTTGAGGGCTTGCTCGGCTCCCGTCTCCGCTGCCCCAGAGGGCATGCAGTGTGCGAAGATTTCCGACTCTGGATCTCCCATCTGGTGTGGCCTGTCGTGAGGGTTCAGGCTTGCTGATGCAATGCAAGACTGTGCACTGGATGACGTGCCTGCACGGGGCTCCCACTTTGACACCACAGTATCGGCAGCTGCGCCCCCGGGTGAATTGACTTTTAAAGGTGAGGCAAAGCTTCTGGGTGTGTTCGAGGGCTTGGGGGAAGTCATGGTGGTGAGTACGATTGTAGTGTTGCTTGATGTGCTTGCCATCTGCTATCCACATGCCACATACAACACAGCGACTCTGAAGCCTGGCCCGCATGCGACGACAGTTAAGATGCTGATCCCAGGAGTCTAGCGTGGCAAGGAAAAGAGAGTCTGTAATCAGCGGCACTGCGTTTTGGGCCGCGAGCTCCTGAGACTCCGCTCCCGCATAAGCTCGGGCCGTCGGATCAGTGATGATAGGGTCCTGCACGGGGCGGCTCATGGCTGGGTTGTCTTCCAAAGGAGGGCTAAGCTTCATGCTGTCACCTCCTAGCGCAATGCAGGAGCCCTGCTCAATGTGCAATTTGAGGTGTTGCCATTTTGTAAAATTCCGGCTACACAACTTGCAAGTAGGTAGTCCATTCACTGCATGTTCCTGTGCATGAAATGTGGGCTTAGCTCTGTGGTCCTCCGGGGCATCCTGTTCAGGGTGCTTGATGGCTGTGTGGATTAGCCTGGCATGTGAGGTGGGTAGCACTAAATCGCAGTGTTGGCACGGGAAGCCCGAGTTGGGGCAAGGCTGCGCCTCCTCTGGCAAGGTGAGGCTGTGCGCTAGCATGCGGCGGAGAGCCTCCTGGAGACCATCGAGGAGGTTGTTGAGGTGTTGGACTACTCTGTCATTGGAGATGAGGTCAGGGCCAAATTGGTGATGTGCAGGATCACGGCATGCACACAGCTTGGCCAGTCTGGCATGAATGGACTGCTCCGGTGCAGGAAGCCCAGCTCTCTCCCAGATTTCTGAGGTACTGACGTGGCGAAGATGCACCGGCTCCCGAAGGATGGCACGCACATGCCTTGTGGCAATGGTTTTGACTCTCTGAAGTCCTTTGGCTGTGCAGCCTGTGACTCACGCCTGCCATAGCCTCAGCCTGTACTTGATGGAGAGAGGCCCTCTCCCATTCAGGATTTTCCTGAGCTGCTGGTATCTGGTTTGAGCAGCACTAATCCTATGTCCTACATTGAGGTCCCTGCGATCCCTGTACGAGATGATGGTACCAAGGTAGGTGTGTGATTCCTTGATTTTGATTGGGTATTCTCGGCCGTGGACATTCAAGATCAAGAAAGTTTCGCCCGCCTTCTGGCGGGTGTGCTGCCGTAGAAGCTTCTTGGCTGTCTTGCCTTTCAGATTGACAAGCAGTGCTCTCTTCTGAAGGTTGACCTTAAGCTGATAGGTCTCCAGCGTTTCCATCAGGAGAGTCAGGTCGGAGATCGCAGCCTTCCAGTCCTGCAGGCAACGGATGGTCCAGTGACCACAGAAATCGTCAGCGAAGAGGGTCAGAATGTTCTGGACCCAGGTGAGGCTACGATGCCGCGCAAGATGCTCTAGCACGGAAAGTGTGAAGCTAACCCAAAGGGTGGGGGCGGCCCTACATCCCTGTTTTATCCCGTTGGTGGTGGTCACTTGACCACTGGCCTTGGAGGTTCGGAAGATGTATTTAGCACCCCGATGGAGTTGTTGGACTACATTGATGAGGTCGCTAGGGACCTGATGGTCCAGAAGTGATTGTATGAGTAAGTCCCTGCTTACACTATCGAATGCACTGCTGAGGTCCAGGGATAGGCAGAGGCCTCCGTGGCAATGAAGGGCTTCTACTCCCTGATGCATCTTGAACCTGTTGGCGAGCTGCCCCCGCTGCAGTGCTTCAACCTCACCAAAGTAGGAATGAACCCGGAGGATGGCATCATTAACACCCCGTCCCGCGCAGTATGCAAACTGTGGCATGTGGTCAAGCATGGGCTGTAGGTGTGCCAGGATGTGGTGAGCTACATTGCCTGCCAAGGATTTGGCACACGGTGGCATGAGACCAATCGGCCGTTTGGCACTCATATTTGTGGGGGGTTTAGAGGGCTTATCTAGCCAGCAGATGTGGGCGTCCTGAAGGTCTCCCTCAAGCAGGTCTGGCGATTGGCGACGGAAGTGGTGCTCGAAGCATGGACCTAGGCGGGCACCGACTGAGGTGGCACAAAGTTTCCAGACGGCATTCGGTGCAATGTGCCTCGGCACGGCTTTCCGGATGTTGAGGGTGTCCTGCTTGCAATTCGGCAGCCGAGAACACGAAGCCTTCCTGCAATGGCTGTAGGGCAGTTGTGTCCGGGGTGGATGCAAAGGTGGTCTGGCTGTGTTTGATGATTGCTGCCATCTCAGCTGAACTGTCCAAGATCTGCCCATCAGAACCCTGTAGTCTGGATACCCCCTGTGCTTTCTTGGGTCCCAGCCTGCGAGCTATCAGGAAGAGGTCACGATGGTTGCCTTTTCGGGCTGCTGCTTCGGCCTGGCGCATTTGGTCTTCCAGGAATTGTCTTTTGAGATCTTTGCTTTGTCTCCGAAGCATGGCAGAGGCTCGCATGAACTGTGCATACAGACGCCATCGTGCCCAGATATTTCGGAGGGATGGCAGGCCTGATCGGCGCAGCTGATGGTGCAGCTGCCAGGTGCCTCGAGCAGAGGCCCGATATCCCTGATGTGCACTGACTCTATGGTCAGCTCTTTTGGCTGGAGGAAAGGCACGACAGGTCTCTTCGAGCAGTATGGTATTGACCAAGTCATGTGATGTGCAGAGGGCCTGCTCCTGGGGCATGGCTGATAGTCTCACCTCCACTGCCTGTTGCAAAGCCTGGGCCGATTCTGAGTGTTGCGAGACAGCTGATTGCAGAGCCGCGGCATCAAAATGGAATTCGGCCTTGGGCTGCGAAGCTCGGTATGCCATTGGCAGCAGCTGAATGACAGCCTGCACCGGGTGGTGATTGGTTTGGCGGTAGGCTCCCACCGGGAAGCCATACAGGGGTGCAGCGAGCTTGGCTTGATGGTTTGCAGAGTGGGTTCTCATCAGCACATAGTCCAGCTGGCTCTTGACGCTGGGCGAGGTGTAGGTGTGGTTGGGTCTAGAGTGCCAAGTATTAAGTGCGCAAAGATCGCACTCCTTAAGGAGGGTTTGGAGGTCTTTGTCAAAGTTGGCATGGGTGTCAGGTTTTGGAACGGAGGGGCCTACGTGAGGATGCATGGGGGTTAGGGTGGCATTAAAGTCCCCAGCTATCACTAATTGATGCCTGGCGGGTGTGGCATTGATCAGGGTCTGAAGGTTATGCCATATGTTTAATCTGAGGCTGCGATTCTGGGCTGCACTGAGGTGCGACCTCCAGACGTGCTGATACAGGCCAATGATACAGACTGGCATTTGGCTGTGATTGTGTGTCGCCGTTACCTGAAGTAGTCTGCCTTGCACGTGTTCCTTGACACGCGGTTCTGCAAAACACTTGCTGGACAGCAGGCACAGTATGCCAGCAAAGCGGTCTGGGTCTGCTCCTTCTTTGTATCCTGTGCTATGTATACAGAGCCACTGTCCACTGCGATAGTCTTCCACTTGCTTCCAATGTGTTTCAGAGATGATAATGACATCGTACTGCTCAGTGGCTTCTCGAGTGTCACACCAGGCCATGAGTTCTTGTGTCATCGCTGCTGAGAGGCCCCCTGCATTCCATGCAAAGACCCTGAAGCGGAATTCCGGCCTTGTGGTTCGTCGAGGTCGAGCTCGTACAGTCCTGGGCACTCTGTTTAGGGCAGCGGGTGGCTGATCGCGAAGGGCATTGAGAGTGGCACGGGTGTGCCATCTGTTCCGGTACCAGGTTCCTGCCTGGATGGATTGATTAGCTCTGCGACAGGCTCGGTTGAATGCTCTTTTCATGTGTTTAGTCGGACGTATGGGTTCCCTGCCTTGATGCGCTTTGCCGTGGTGCTTCCCTGGACAAAGTCCAGGTCCATCCTCCGTGACGGCTGCAGCAGAGGAAACCCGCGCCCCAACTGTAGCTAGTAGGAGTGTTCTTAGAAGAGGCCTAGTAGGTCTACAGCCTCCGGACTTGGGACCGGAGGGGACCGAGAAACTCTTGTTGCAGCCTAAATGTGCAGGATGATCAAGGTTATGAGCTGTACAGCCGTGGCTGACAATGCACAGACCTTGGGGTTGCTTCCGGGGACTACTGAGGTTATGAGCCTTATGTCGGGTGTGGGTAGTAGACAGACAGCAGTTGGCGGCTCCTGCTGCATCGGCTGCCGCACTAGGCGGCTGATCGCGGGGCTGCACAGGCATGCGGCCACGGCTGTGGCTGCGAGGCTTGGGATAGTGTCGCGGGTGCTGGAAGTATGCGGCTCGGAGGTTTCGGGCACGCCAGGGTGCAGCAGTTTGCCTGCCGCGGTCACGGTTGCCCATCCACTGTTCTGGAGCCGCGTCTTTCGCCCGCTCTTCGGTATCCTCTTGCATGTGCCATGCACCAGTTGTGCCACTGCAGCTGCCTGTCTCCGGTGAGTTGCCTCTGCATGGTTTCGCGAAGCTGGGTCCAGGTCTCATTGGCGATTGCCCTTTGGAACCAGCTTTGCTTTCCCGCTCGGCTTCTCGCGCTCCTCGCGGTCTCCGTCTCGTTGAGCTCGCGGCGATAGAGGGCACTTCCCTCTGCTCGTGCTCTGTCCAGCTCCTCCCCTCGCAGCTCCAAAGAAAAGCTGCTGCTGTCACTGATTCCGTCTTGGCTTTCAGCTTGCTCGTGAAGTGATGGCGATGAGGAGCTGAAAAACTCCGGTGCATCCCTTGCAGCTGCAGCTCGTTCGGCCGCTGTGAGGTGTAGGCGAGCCCCTGGTGGGGGCGGCGGTCCTGCTGGCTTAGCATGAGCCACAGCGCTAGCTGTATCAACAGCACCTGAGGAAGGGGTCCTCTCCAGCGAGTCTGTCCGCCGGCTCTTCCGAGACCCTTCATGGCTCATCGCCTACGGAAGTCTACAAAACTGCTTCAGAGAGTCTCGGGCCCAGGGGCTTTAGTCGCCAACCTCACCATCATCATCATCATCAAAAT